CTTGTCATCCTTATTCACTGTCTAGCCCTCAGATACAATCATGTGATTGGAAAGAGTGTGGTTTGAATTAGACACACTTTAGTCTTTAAATTGACATCCTTGCTCTTCAGAACTTTGGAGAGATCCCTGACAGCTGACTTTCACAATGCTCTATCTCTCCTAACTGCTGGTACCAAAGGTGTTGACTGTGGATTCAAGCCAAGATGAAACTGCTGACAATATTAATCTTTTCTCTATCTATCATGACGTTTCTAATTGGTCCAGTGGTAATGATATTTGTTTTCTTGATACTGAGATGTAATCCATATTAAAGGGTGCAATCCTTGATCCTCTTCAGGAAGCATTTCAGTCTCTCCTTGCTTTCAGCAAACAAAAGTGTATTGTTTGCATAATGCAGGTTGTTGGTGAGTCTTCCTCCAATCATGATGTTGCCGCCTTCTTCATGAAGTCTAGCTTCTAAAATGATTTGCTAAGCATAAAGACTGAGTATGTTTGAAAAAAAAGGATACAGCCTTGATGCACATTTATCTTAATTTTAAACTATTCAGTGTTCCCTTGCTGTTTGGACAATAGCTTCTTGGTCCAGGTATAGATTTCGTATAAGCAAAATTAAGTTTTGGAATTATTAATATTCTCAATTATTCATAGTTTGTTATGATCCACAATCAAATGCCTTTGCATTATCAATAGAACACAAAAAGACATCCTTCTGGATATACCATATTATGTTGGATCAGCTTTCTTGGGAATGGGGGAGTAGATCTGTGCCCAGTTAGCTAAATTCCAAATTACCTGGCACAGACCGGTGTGCATGTCCAAGACTGCACTTGTTAGTTGATTCATATCAACTTGTATTCCATCAGTTCCTGGGGCCCTATTTTATCCAATGCCTCCAATGTATCTTGAACTTCCCCCTCATTATCACTGCTCTTCGTCATATGCTACTGCCTGTGATATTTTAGTGTTGATCAATTCGTTTTTGTACTGACTCCAAGTATTCTCTCCATCTTTTCTGTTGTTGTTAGGTTTTTATTGGTTTGCACAAAATCAATCATATACATTATATTTTATACATGTATTTTGTGTTTTATATAACCATCCATATACACTATATTTCATATGATTAATTACCATTGATCTATGTCCATTATCATCCTGTCTTTTTAAGTCCCCACTGAATCTGTCCCATCCCTTTACCCTTCCATCTTGTTTTGATGATTCCTGGATTATTCAAGATTTTCCCCATAGAATATCCCAGTATTGCAACTAGAGGACTACTTCCTGTTAAGTGCCACTGACTGGAGTACAATTCACTGTATTCTTATGAACAAAAGATCTGAACTCTGTCCTATTTTGTGCCATCCTTATTATTTTTGACACACTGGAGTCCACTCCCATAGACAGTGTATCAGTCATTCTGGTTGAGTGTCATCCTCTCCTTTGCTGACCCTGCATCTTTCCAGACATGATCACCCTTTTAGAAGGAAAAGCCTCTTCTAAACAACATGTCCAAAATATGTGAAAGGAAGCTTCACCATGCCTGCTTCCAAGGAACACTCTGGATGCACTTTCTCCAAGGCATACCTATTGTTCTTCTAGCAGTCTGTGGGATAATCAGCCCTCTTCTCCAACACCACAACTCCAATGTATTGATTCTTCTCATGTCATCCTTATTCATTATCTAGCTCTCAGATGCACTGCAGATAACTGGTAAGACTGTGGTTTAAATCAGGCATATTTTAGTCTTTAAAATGACATTATTGATTTCTCAGGCCTTTGGAGAGACTTTTGACCACAGACTTTGCCTGTGCTATATGTGTCCCGACCAAACTGCTGGTACCAAGGCAAGATGGAGACCAGCAAGGTGAAATCATTAACAATTTCAATCTTTTCTCCATCAATCATAATACTTCTAATTGGCCCAGTGGTGATGATTTTAGTTTTCCTGATGTTGGAATGTAATTAATATTGAAGCTACAATCCTTGATCCTCTGCAGCAAGTGCTTTAGATCCTTCTTGCTTTCAGCAAGCAAGGTTATGTACTTTGCATACACACTATCATTGTTTTTATTAGGTACTGTCCAGTCAGAATTGACTCAAAGTTGACCCTATAGTGGGTTTTCAAAGGCAATAAACAATACAGGAGGATACTGCACATTTTTCTCCCACCAAGAAGCTGGTGGATTTGAATGGTGTGCCTTCAGTTTGACAGCGTAATTCCTTATCACTAAACCAGCAGATGTAATTCATTTCTGGAAGAGATGAGGAAATATAAATTCTGACTAGTAAAGCTTCTGAATGGGCCATGGATCATAAAATTCTATCAAGGTATATCAGGGTACTTCTTCACAAAAAGGTCTCAAAATCTTTGCAATGGCAAGAGAAGGAAGGTAATAAATATATAAGTCTCTGACATTGTACCATTGAAGTAGACTGTTGCTATCTCAGCTGAAAAATAGTTGTGTCTCAGTATCTATGGGAGTTCGCTTCCAGGACACCCACCTCTACACTCAAATCAAGTGCCTTACATAAGATGTTATAGGTGCCTTACATAAGATGCTATAGTATCTGCATATAACCTACGTATGTATTCCCATATTGTTGTTGTTGTTGTTATATATATGCCGTCGAGTCACTTGTGACTCAGAGCGACCCTATGTACAATAGCCCTAAACTCTGCTCTGTCCTGTGCCAATCGCACTGTCTCTGACACTCCCATCCCGATTACCCCAGTCACTGAATCAATCCACCTCACGGAGGGCCTTCCCCTCCTGCGCTGTCCCTCCACCCTTCCAAGCATGATGTCCTTCTCCAAGGATCGGTCCCTCCTTATAACATGTCCAAAGTATGTTAGGCGAAGCCTCAGAATCCTGTTAGATGAAGCCTCAGAATCCTTGCCTCCAAGGAGCTGCCTGATTTAACCCTTTCTAGGATGAATCTGTTTGTTTTCCTGGTAGTCCATGATACATTCAATACTCTTCTCCAGCACCACAGTTCAAAGGCATCAATTCTCCTTCCATCCTTCTTAGTGACATATTTCATATTCCCATATAGTTTTACATTATCTCTAAAGTACTTACAATCACTTATAACTCCACAGTCCATATGAAGTTGATCTCCAAGCCCAAACATGGCACCTCTCTGCCAGTTCACAAATACCAGTGGCTTAGCGTGAGGAAGATGGGCAACCTCCTCCTTGGAAAGCCCACTAAAGGATGAGTTAGTTCCAATTTCACAGCAATGGTAGAGTTTTAGAGTCTTAGCCTTTGAGGGGTGGCTTTGACCACTTGCTCTTAAAAATGTTTTTTATTAACTGGATAAATGCTGTGTACTGCATTGAAATGGATGAGGGAGAGAACAGTTTAAAAGCAATTTATTATAAGGTATTATGATTATCATAATTGTCCAGAACGAAGGTTGCAGAGTGGAGTATACTCAGGGATGGCGGTGGGGAGGTGCGGGGGGATTGTATACCAGTGAAGGAATTTTTCTTTTGCTTTTCAAGAAGAGCAGACTGGGGGTGGGGGTGGGCAGGGAGAAAAGTGCAACAATGAATGAATGGAAATCCAAAAGCTCTGTAAATGTTCATTAAAATTAATAATAAAATCTAAATCAATAAAAAAGTTTTTTATTTTATATTGACTTAATAAAATATAATTGTCTTTTAAAATATTTTTCGAATTTACAGATGCAGAACTCAAAAGATCCCTTAAATATAGTACAGCAAGGAAATAAAATTTAGCTTATTAAAAAAAGGTTTCATACAGTCTGAAATGCACAATTTGGAGAGGATAAAATAGATGAATGAGACTTTCTAAAGATTAAATCTCTGTGCTCATAAAAAACTTCCAGCAGAGTAAAAAGAAAACCTACTGACTGGGAACAAACATTTGGCAATACCATCTCAGACAAGGGTTTCATAAGACAAGTTTACAAAATTCTACAGGGCTCCTGGAAGAAAGACTGATCACACAATTACAAAATGGGCAAAAGATATGGAAAGACTTTTCACAGAGGAAGACATTCAGATGGCCAACAGATACATGAAGAAATGCTCAAAATTACTGACAATAAGAGAGATGCAAACAAAAACCACAATTAGATATAATCTCACCCCAGTAGCAGTGGCAAAGTTTAGCTGTGCAGCAAACAATAAATGTTAGAGAAATGTGGAGAAGTGGGAACACTCATACACTATTGGTAGAATTGTAAAATGGTATAAACACTCTGGAAGGCAGTTTGGCATTTCCTCAGAAGTTGAGCACAGAAACTCCATATATGATCTAGCTATTCCACTGCTAGGAATACAATTCAAAGAAATCAGAACTGAGACACAAATGAAATTTGTACACCAATGTTCATAGCAGTGTTATTCACCATCACAAGAGTATGGAAACAGCCCAAATGTCCAACCACAACTGAATGAATTAAGAAATTGTGGTACACTCACACAATGGAATAATATGCAGCACTCAGGAGAAATTATTTTGAAAAATACTACAAACCTTGGGAGAGACTGGAGAGCATTATACTGAGTGAACTAACTCAGTCTCATAAGAACAAATACTCCATAAGACTATTATTGTAAAAAATAGAATAATAACTAGTAAAACATGTATGAGGACCCAAAGAGGGAAGGGGTGGGAGCAGAGAGGCAAGGAAAGGTGGGAGTGAAATGATAGGCTTACACAATTTGGGGGTGGTGATGCGGTGGTTAAAGGAAATTAGAATGATCAGGTGGGGACCTGAAAAGATGGGGTAATTATGGGCACAGTCCAATGGTGATTAATTTTATAAAACATACTATATAGGAATGATTGTGTGCAATACAGTGTGAATGAAGAATAGCATGAAACACAAAGTATACAAACTTTGTAAGCAAACCAATATAAAAAAAAATTCAAACAAAATAACAAACAATGGCATGGAAGACTTTCTCACCTCTCTCTTATACATCATTAAAAAAAAAAAACACAAAACCAAAACCAAAAAACACTCACCTGAATAAAATGTGTTGATTTTGGCAAGTTCCTTTTCACAGGTTTGGAAAAATTTTTCTTCAAACTTGGCAAAATATCTCTTTACTGTGTCTTCATCCGTAACTGAAAAGTAAAGAAATCAGTATTTAATGTCTGAAGGAGAATTAAAATATAGGGCTATAAAATTTAGATTGTCTACTTTTTTAATCTTCAAAATGATTACTATACGTGCATTTTTCTGAAAAAAAAAAAAAATAGTAAACCAAATGAGGACACTAAATGTTTTTACTGAAATACAAATAATTCATAATTTTGATAGTCATAAAATTTTACATGGTTGGTTCTGTTGAGAATATATACAGCAAAATAACACCAATTCAACCATTTGTCCACATACAATTCAGGAACACTGAATGTATCCTACAAGCTGTGCAAACATTCTCACCCTCCTTTTCTGAGTTATTTGTTCACTAACAAAAGTTCATTGGCCCTAAATTTTTACACCATTTTTTAAATTGAATGGGTGTATCTTTGTTATGATAACTTTAAAATAATATGTCACATGTAAAACAAAAGTGATGTGGATGACACAACCTTGTAGACTTACAAAATCTTAAAACTTTATTTAAATGGTGAAATATTGTAAATTTTAATATTTAAATGGTGAAAAGGTAAGTATTCCATAGTATCAGTTGATGTAGTCAAGGAAGATTTAAGGTGACAGTAACTGAACTAAGTAAGACTCACATAGGAGAAACAAAAGCAGACAAGTAGTAGTTGTTAGGTGCCATCAAGTAGAGAACAACGTATAGGGAGCCTAAGGCAGTGACCCAAAATCTGCCCTATCCTTTACCATCATATCATCTCTGACACATTAGAGTCCATTGCTGAAATCGTCATGTCAGTCCACCTCCTTGGGGATCTTCCTCACCTCCACTGATCCTCCATCTTTCCAAACATGATATCCCTTTTCAAGGAATAGCCTCACTTTGCCACATGTCCAAAGTATGAAAGATGAAGTTATGCCATTCTTGCCTCCTAGGAGAACTCTGGCTGCACCTTCCCCAAGACACACCTATTTTTTTTTCAGCCCATGGTATATTCAGTACTCTTCTCCAATGCAACAATATAAAGGCATCAATTCTTCTGTCATCCTTATTCAATATCCAGCTCTCTGATATGTAGCAGGTGATAGAGAAGACCATGGCCTGAATCAGGTGCACCTTAATCTTCAAACTGACATCACTGTTCTTCTGGTTTTTGCAAAGGTCTCTGAAAGAAGACTTGCCTAATGCAGTATGTCTTCTGATTTCCTGACTGCTGGTACCAAGGGTGCTGACTGTTGATCTAAGGAAGAAGAAATCACTGACCGTTTCAATTCTTTCTCCAATTATCCATAACAGACTGAAGTTGTTAGATAAGTAGAGATGGGGGAGAGGTGAATGGGGAAATATACCAGCCCAATGGCAGTAACAGCATGAAGATGTAACTGTGGAAAATGCGTCCGGGGTGTGTGTGTGTGGTGAAATTTCACTGTTCAGTGTTAAACTGTTGCCTATTCATTTCTTTCTTTCTTTTTTTTGCTTGTTTAGCTGCACCAGACACTGAAAAAGGATGTGTGAGTAATGGCTGTAAATCAGATGGTAAAAACTATAGTTGAGTTGCTGTTGTTAGGTGCTGTTGACTCAAGGACACTCTATGAACAAAAGCTCTGTCATGCTCAAGCCCATTGTGGTAGTCACTGCATAAATCTATCTTATCAAGGGTCTTCCTCTCTTTCTCTAACCCTTTACCATTCCCAACATGATGTCTCTCTCCATGGATTGGTTCCTCTTGAGAATGCCCAAAATAAGTGAGATGAAATATCATATTCCTTGCCTCTGAGGAGGACTCTGGGTCCATTTCCTTCAAGACAAACCTGTGTTTTTTGGTATTCTATGGGATAAACAATAGTCTTCACCAAAAATCCCAATTCAAAGGCATTGATTCTTCTTCTGTCTTCATGATTAACTGTCTAGCTTTCAAGCACACAGAAAGAAAATGAAAAGATATGGCTTGGATCATGTGCACCTTAGTCTTTAAAATCATTATCACTATTTTTTTAGAACTTCGGGGAAGTCTCTTGACAGCAGATTTGCCCAATGCAGCACATCTTTTGATTTCTTGACTGGCGCTACCATGGTGTTGATTATGAATCCAAGTAAAATGCAATCATTGAAAACTTCAATTTTTCTTCATCTATCATGATGTTTGCTGTTTAAAACAAGCTTGGAAGCAGGAGTAGCATTCACTTCCATAACAGCTTGCCTCTGGAAACCCTATAAACCTGGAGAAAGAATGAAAGTCATACAAGTGTTGAGGACTTTCATTCATAAGGTCATTATGACTTGCCTCCGATTCAAAGGCACTTAACAACAATAACATCAACATAGAGATCAGTTGGCCTAGTGGACAGAAAGTGACACTACCAAGCCAAAGATGGGTGACTTTTAATCCGCAGCCATCAGGCTTTTATTGTTTTTGGTCAGGCATTCTTCTAGGTCATATAGCCCTGGTGTGTCACTTGCTATACAGAGGTAATCTATGGTTGCTGTGAAGCTGGACACTGACAATGATGTGTCAAATGCATTAATGGTTACCCATGGTGGACAATGTTTGGTGGAGCTTCCCGATTAAAACAAGCTTGGAAGCAGGAGTGGCATCCACTTCCACAATAGCTTGCCTCTGGAAACGCTACGAACCTGGAGAAAGGATAAAGTCATACATGCAAGTATTGAGGACTTTAGTTCATAAGGTGGCTATGAGTCACCTACAACTTGACAGCAATTAAAAACAACAATCATGATGTTGTCTGTTGGTTCAGACGTGAGGATTCTTTTACTGTAACAATGGGCTCAAGTATAAGAGAGATGATAAGCATGGCACAGGATAGGGCAAGGTTCAGATCCATTATTCTTAGGATTAATGAATTATAATTGACTGGAAAGAATCTAACAAGAATGCTGAAAGTTGATATTCTATAGTAAGTGATTAAAAATATTTGCTACTTTTCTGTAAGCAAGGTAACATAGGTTACTGATGAATCATTTTCCAATCCTGATGCTACATTCTTTTTCATGTAATCTAACTTCTTGAATGATTTGCTGAGCATATAAACGGAATAGGTATGGAGAAAGGAAACAGCCCTGACGCACATCTTTCATGATTTTAAACCATGGCAGTGTCCTCTTCCTCTGTTCACAAAATTGTTTCTTGGTCTATGCAGAAGATTCACATGATCACAAATCAATGTTCTAGGATTCCAATTCTTCTCCATGTTAATCCTATTTTGTTACAATCCACACAGTCAAACATCTTTCCATAGGCAATAAAACACAAGGAAACATCTCAGGTATTCCCTTAGCTTTCAGTTATGAACAATCTGACATTAAAAATGGTATCTTGTGTATCATTGCCTCTTCTGAATTCAGCTTGAATTTCTAGTCCTCTCCTGTCAAAATACTGTTTGAGTTGTTTTTAAAAAAGCTACTGTAAGATTTTATTTATATGAGATACTAATGATTATTATAAGATAATTTCTACAGTCTATTATATCACCTTTTATGGAAATGGAAATAAAGATGTATCTCTTCCAATTAGTGGGCCAGGTAACTGTCTTCCATATTTCTTGGCTGAAGATAATTGGGTAACATAAATGAAAAGAGCAAATGTGTGGCTCCATTTATAATAAAAACAGTAATTTACACTTTACTTGACTATGGAAAACTGTAACACACATGTCTAATTAGTTGCTGCATGTGGTAGGTAGTATAAGGTCAATGCTATCAAATGTTAGGGAGCACTGGTGGCCCAGTGGTAGTGAGTTATGCTGCCAACTCAAAGGTAGGCAGTTTGAATCCTCCAACTGCTCTTTAAGTATGACAGCTTGACTAGGGGTTGGTGAGATAGGAAAAGGCAAGAATTATTGTTTCTTATTCTTACTTTCAGTGTCATCAAACAACCAACTCACAGCTGATCCTCCACTGGGTATCTGAAGCTCCTTTGGGTTAGCAGTGAAATTCCTTAAAGATTAGGCCACTAGAGCACCCTAATCACTGTTGAGGTAACATATAATTGTTGCAAATGATTGACCTCATTGAATTTCCTGCATTTTACATATAAAAAATCTTGAAGATATAAATGTGTCTTTAATAGTCTTATAAAAATAACAACTTTGAATCTATTAATTTCATTTCAATACCACAAAAAAATACCCCCAAAAAACCCCCAGCACAAAATCTTAACATTTATTTATATATAACTTTTCCTCTGTTTTTTAGTTAGTTTTAGTTAGTATAGTATTATCTATACTATGGATTGTGCAGTGATAAAGGAATAACCATTTTAAGTTCCTGGTATGAACCCAGCAATTTGGGTTTATTAAGTGATACAAACTATCCAAGGCGAATGAGAATTCTTTTTTTAAAGCACAAAACCAGTACATGACCTTTTTTAAAAAAGTTGACCATGAATGTAGAATCGCTATGGCAACAGATACTGCTATTATCATATTATTTTGCAATTGTTGCTGTTGTTGTTGTTATGTGCCATCAAGTCGCTTGCAACTCACAGCGACGCTATACACAAGAGCCCTAAATGC